GCTCAGCGCCGGGCCGTCCAGGCCGGGGGTGGGGCCGGCGGGGCGCGCGGGGCGGCCCTGGAGGAGTCACGTGGCGCGCGCGGCCGAAGCAGAAGTAGCAGCGGGGCGGCGGAGGGCGTGCGCCTCAGGGAGTGCCCGGACCCTGGGCGGCGGGCGGCTGCGCGGGGACCCCCGAGCCGGGACCCGCGGCTGGGCCACGGGCAGGTGAGTGGCTCGGGCGCGCGGGGACGCAGGCGGGCGCCCGGGAACCGGCGCCGGTGATCTGTGCCCGGGGTGTGGGGGCGCGACCTGCGCTCGGGCGAGGCGGCTGGGGTGGGGCGCGCCGTCTGGGGGCCCTGTGCGCTGTACCCGGGCTCGGGAGGGGGCGGCAGGGCGCGTCCTCACCCGCGGCCTGTGCGCTCCCGTGGGTCGGTGCCGGGGCGCTCCCGTGGGTCGGTGCTGGGGCGCTCCCGTGGGTCGGTGCCGGGGCGCTCCGAGCGTTGGGTGCAAGCCCAGGGGGAGGCGCGCGGCTGGCGGCTGGGGGGTCGCGTGAGCGCTGCCTTCCAGGCTGCGGTGGCCCGGGCGTCCTGCGTGGGGTCGAACTGCGCTTCTTGGCCACTTCTGTGCCAGGGCTGGCGGACTTTGGGGCGGCCCGGCCGGCCCCCGGCACTTCCCCGTATTGCACAGGTGGCTGCGGGTGGGTGGATGGCGAGCGATAGCGCGCCGGGCGCAGCCCTTGCCGGGGAGCGACTTGGAGGGTGTTCTGGCAGCCAGTTTCTCTCGCAGCCCTCCGTTGTGTATATAATTATGTGTGTAGGTCGGTGCACTTCCCTGGGTTTATTTTGGAATCCCAAGGAGATTATTATCCCCGTAGAGGAGGAATTGGCGAGGAAGATGTGTCCCGTCTGGACTGGGATTCTGGCACAGCCTGTGAGGGCCTCTTTTCAACTAAGATCTTGTGCTGGATGAAGTCTGGCTGGGGGTGGGGGGTGGGGAGGGATGCCATGGTGCCAGGGAGCCAGGTGGCCTTGTGTCAGTCAAATGACTTTGAATTTCACTTCCAGTTGTGTCCCCTGGGCCAGTTGAAGAACCTCTCTGAGCCTGTTTCTTCCCCTGGATTTGGAACCACTCAAGCCTAAATTCCAGGACTGTGCTGAGCATTGGGGTCTAACTATGGAAAATGGTGCCGGGGTAGCTCTTCACCCCCTGGTTAAAGGGCCGATTGTGGAGCTGGGACCCTCGTTCTTAGAGCTGGTTCTGCACTGAGCCCTTGTTAATGCTGTTGTAATTGCCACAGTGTGTGTGGCTGTGCATGCAGCAGGGGTCACCACTCACGGAGGGCTTCCCTGCTGCTGCTACTTCCCCCTACCCCCCAGCTTGTAAAGCTCTCTAGAGAGGCAAAGCTGGGATCCCCATGAATAGTCATTTTGCTATTGCTGGAAAATTATTACTGAGAACACTAGAAAACTCTTCTTAATTTAGAAAACAGCAAGAACAGCTACAACCAAAAAAGCTCATCCTTTATGTCACCACCTAAAGTCACAAAAAGTCAAGTCATCGCCTTTACCCTCTTCCACCCTCTACAAGTCACCACCCTCCCTGGCTGTTTCAAGCATCCAGCTTTTTAAAAAATGTAATTATATTGTACTTACTGGTTTGTGAATTTTTGTTCTTGTGCTTCATGGATTTTCCAGACTGTTTGCTTATAAATCCCTCACATTCTTTTCAATAGTCAAAGGGCGTTCTTTTGTGTGTCTTCCACTATTTTTTTAAGGTACCCCCACCCCACCATTGAAGAGCAGTTGAGTCGTTTACTCTGTTTTTTTCTTTATGATTTTCTATTACAAATGTTGTTTCCGTGAACATTGTTGTGTTTTTTTCTCTGCTCATATTTGACTCCTGGGTCAAAACTTGTACATGTTTTATGTTTTAATAGATGCTTGTACCCTCCCCATGGGACAAGCTCACACTCTACCTGCCGTGTTCCTCCAAAGAAAATATGTGTCCCCCTCTTGCTGTGGGGTAGATGTAAGATGCAGGAGTAATGTCCCCCTAGCTGTAAGAGGAACAGTAATCTCTTAGGGAGGCCGCGGTGCTGGATTTTAACAGAGGATAGTTTTGGGGGCGTCTGTATAAAATTCCTTGTGGCTCTCACGTGTGCAGGGAATATTCACCAAGGAGCAGCAAATCCCCCTGCTTCCTGGTGCTGCGTCCTGGTGTCCCAGAAGTTCATTTCAACAAGAAGGGCATGAAAAGTAGAAATGGCCAAACCTTCTATTAAATCTCAGCCACGTTTGTATTGGTGCCACTGTCATTCTACAGAGTTACCCAGGGAAGATGAGAAACAGGAATGAAAACGGGGTTTCAAGACTGGTTCTTTCCTTTTTTCGAAAGCAGAAGCAAAATGGAAATTGCCTGTGTTGGCTCGTTGGGCCAGGTGCCTCAGAGACCTCCTTGCCTGGGGTGGCGAAGTGTTGATGTCTGGAAGCCTGAGCTGGGAGCTGACTGGATTTTGGAGGGTTGATTGTGAGGATCTTGTTTATGGTTGAAACAATTCACTGGGCTTCTGAACCCTGGAAGTCACTAGAATCCACAGAAGGTCAAGTTCTGGGTTGTCCCAGAGCCAGCATCAGAAAGAACTGAGGCTCCTGCCTCCTGGTTGTCCAGTTGAATGAGAGGTGCAGGGAGTGACTGTTTCCCAGTGATGCCTGTTACCCCGTGACCTTGAGACCTGGGTCTGGGGAACTCCAGAGGCACATGTCTGGGGGTGGCAGCATCTCTAAGAAGCATTGCAAAGTGCTGGGGAGCTGGCATCTGCTCCAGTTCCTGCTCCTGCCACTTTCCAGCTGTGTGACCTCTCTGGGAGGGGTGGGGCCTGCCAAATTTGTTAATATCTGGCGGAATTTGGTCAAGGGGCTTCTGAATTCCAGAAAGCAGATGTGAAGCAGCAATGGCGTGGGATTCAGACCAGGGATCCAATCCTGATCCAAACCACTTCTGGGGTTTCTCATCGAGTTAAATGAGATGGGCCACATAGAGCAAGGGTCGGCATCAAGGGAGAGCTGATAAATACTTTACCAGCACAAAGGTGCTCCCAGGCACCCCTCTGCTCCCCCTGGCCTGCAGTAGGGCTGATGAGGCAGGAGGCTCATCTCAGGCTCAGTTCTTGGTGTGCCAGATTAGTCCTCCACCTGGCCTTTGCTTAAGCCAGGTCTGGCCTGAGCACTACATCCTTGACTTTGTCTGTTTTCAAGATTGGATCAGGATGCCCTCTTCCTCCAGACACTTTCTCTGAACCCTCTAAGCTTGGGCCTCATCCCAGACTGAGATTAGGGACCTTAGGGACCTTCCTGCTGTGCTCTTAGCTCCTGGGGCCGTCCGACCACTGGTGTGCTCGCCTCTGCCATGGACTCCCTGGGCTGGTTCCATATGTTGAGAGCACAGTTGTAATTCATGACTGCATTTCCGGCTGGTGGCACACCCGCCAGGGGCCCTTGGCTTCGGTGCCATATCGATGGAGGAGGTAAAGGGCAGGTCTCTGTCCCTCCCCGTGCTCCCTTATTTGCATGCAGTCCCCAGCTTGGGGCCTGGCACAGAGCTGACACTGAATTCACACAATGGCTACCTGGCTGATCCATATTTACAGAGGCCCTACTGGATGCCAGGATGGAGTGTATCATACCTTGCAACTCATAGTCCTTACAGTGCCCCCGGAGGGTAGTTTATTACTCAGATGAGAGCACTGAGGCAACTGGACTGGAGGCTGCGGGAGGCTCTCCAGAGCCAGACTGGTGGCCCAGACAGCCCTGGCCAAGCACCTGCATCTCATTTTCTGGTCTTGGGCACTAGCAGAGTCATAACTGTGCATGCCTACAGGAATTTGGCAGGAGAGGGGGGCATAAGAAGGATACACAGAATAATTCCATAGACTAATTGGTGGTAATAGTAGTGAGGCCAAAATCTGAGGAGCAGTGACTTTGTATCTTTGTTTTAAGGGACCCCGAAATAAATTATTTGGTTTAATCCTTGCAAGAACCCTGGAAGTTCTTGTCTTTCATTTTCTTCCCCTTTACAAATGTGGATGAACCAGGGGATTTGAGAGACCTGCTGTCAAGCCTGCAGTGAGCCGGCCTTCCGCCTGAGCCCCCTGTGGGTGGTGGGCGGTGTGTCTTTGGGGGCTTCGGAGGCAGAATGCGGAGCCTTGCAGAGCCAGGCTAGGGAGTGACAGTGTCACTCTTGTCTGCAGCATCCCTCTGGCCATTGGTATGACAGTTGACTGTAGGGGGCTGGGCTGGAGCAGGGAGACCAGTTAGCAGCTGATCAGAGTAATCCAAGTTCCTAGGGATCCCAGGGAAGGGGAGGGGCTTGGAGTGCTGGATTCACTGTTGGATTTGGAGAGGGGTTGCATGTGGGGTGAGAGGCACAGTTGGTGTCTGGCTTCCTAACTCACCTCCTGCCCCCCCCCCCCCCATTTTAGAAAGAATACAAGTTAGGCAGGCAGAGAGAGGGCCTACTGCCTGCTCAGGACTGCACATGTCAGCAGGAACCTACACCAGGATTTGCACTTGAGGCAGCTGGGCCCAGATGCCCTCTATCCTTTTCGCCCTGTTTTTTATTCCTATTCTCAACTGAACTCAGGAAGTAAAAGGATGGTTAGAAATATCCAGGCAGGATAGAAAAGGATGCTGGTGCAGGGGGCAAGGGTTGGAAGCCAGTCTGGACTGCTTTGGCTATTCAAATAGGAAAGTGTGGGGAGGGAGTGCGGAGGTCACTGCCAGGCTGGGGTGATTTGGTTATTCAAAGCTGGGATAACGGTTGAGTCTCTGAGGCCCCGGGGCTCCTCCCATACTTTGCCTTCCATTTAAGCCTCTGTGTATCTTGCCTCAGCTCTCCAAGGATCTGCTAGATCCTTCTCCTGAAACTCATCCCACGGGCAAAAGGCAGGATTTTGGCTCCTGACGTCCACACCCCGCTACCTAAATCACTTTCAATTGACTACAGCCCGATTCTCTTCCTTCCAGCCTCCCATTTCCTCACTCCTTCCTTCTCCCTGGAGTGGCCAGCAGTGACCACCATGGCGAACGTGGACAACCTTGCAGAATACGAGAAGAGTCAGATCAAGAGAGCCCTGGAGCTGGGGACAGTGATGACCGTGTTCAGCTTCCGCAAGTACAGCTCGGAGCGGAGGACGGTCCAGGTGATCATGGAGACGCGGCAGGTGGCCTGGAGCAAGACGGCAGACAAGATCGAGGGCTTCTGTGAGTACCCGTGGCCCGGGCAGTATGGCCTGCCATGCGGCGCTCTGGCCTATGACCTTCCCTCTTCCTGCCTTTAGCTGCAACTGCAGTGGTTGTTTGATATTTTCTGCTGTTCTTCTGAAAATGAAAGTGTGTCTGCCTGGTCTGGGTCACCAAAGGGGTTGCGAGCAGGTGGGGGGAAGTTCAGCCAGGAGAGCCCTGGAAGTCTCAGAGACCTGCTTGGGCCAACTTGAAAATGTTTGCAGGGCTCACCTGGCCTGGCAGGGGTGTGCTCTTGCCTGACAGCACCAGGGGTCACTTGGTTCCCCTTGTTGGTCTTGCATCTGCCCTCTTAAGGGTGAAGTGGCCAGAGATTGCAGAAACTCACAGCCAAATGCCTGTTTAGTTTTACTGTAAACCATAGAGCAAGGAGCCTTTGCCCTAGCTTCTCTGTGCAGAGAGCAAGCCACGGAATGTTCTGTAGCTTTCAGATGAATTGGAGGCATCTTCCCTTCCCCGCCCCCTTAGATTGGGCAATTGACTCAGTTCCTAAAGTTTTTAGGACTTTTTTTTTTTAAACAGAGTAGAGAGACTTAAGCAATTGTCAGTTGCAGAGACTTGCTTTAATTTGTATTTTAAAAATATTTTAACTAGCTTTTAATTGGAAAATGAAAGTATACACTTGGGGAAAAAAAATCAAACAATTCATAAATAAGTCCTTATTTCCTTGTCCCCTACCCCATGTGTCAGAGGCAAAGCAAGCTCATAACCAACTTCTGGTGTCTTCTCAGAGTGTTCTGTGCACATATCGCGTGCTCTGTGTTTTTTACATGAATTGGGTACCTACTGCCCTACCTATTCTTTTGTGCATGAATTTCTTATTTTTAACTTAGTTATTATCTTGGATGTTGTTTCTTATCAGCACGTTGATCTGCCTTATTCCTTTGTGACCATGTAGCTTTCCGACTGCAGAGTGACTGTGTGACCCCAGGGGTGAATATTTGGGTCTGTTTCCAGTCTTTTCCTGTTAGCTGTAGCAACTCTCCTTGCATTGTCTTTTTGTGGGTCACAGCTTTATTGAGATGTCATTCACACACCATGTGTTTTACCCACTGGAGATGAGTTGTGCAGTGCTTTTTTTTTTTTTTAAAGATTTTATTTATGCATAGAAGAACTGGGGTATAAGCCAGAGGTGTGGGGGGTGAGAGGATTCACCAAAGACAGAGGGGGAGTGGAACAGGCAGACTGACTGAAATACACTGCTAAGGGGAGCAGTGGGTGAGACGGGAGAGGTCTGTTGTGCCATGTGGGTCGGCTCCCTGGCCGGGGATTAAACTCAGGCCGTAGCAGCGGTAGTGTAATAGGGCTGAGACTTAACCCCTATGCCACCAGGGAGGCCCTGCGGTGGTTTTTAGTATATTCACAGATCTATGTATTTATATATAGTATATTCACAGATATATGTATAGCCGTTATCACTTAATTGCAGAGCATTTTTAACACCTCAAAAAGAATCCCCCCTTTAGCCTCACCCCTACTCAAACCGTTCTCCTCCTTCCCTCAGCAACCATTAATCTACCTTCCTCCTCTGTCATTTTCCCTGGACATTGCCCATATGTGAAATCACAAGACCTTTTGTGTCTGGCTTCTTTAGCTTAGGTTGTTTTCCAGGTTCATCCATGTCATAGTGTGTAGCAGTGCTCTGTTATTTTTTACTGCCTAGTAATATTCCACTATTTGTTTACCCATTCCTCCATGGACAGACATATGGGTGGTTTCTGCCTTTATGCTGATGGGAATAGTGCTGCTGTGAGCTGTCATGTTCAAGCTTTGGTGCATTTTCATTTCTTTTGCATATGGGCCTGGGAGTGTAATTGCTGGAGCATATGCTTAACCCCTTTTAATCATTTGTGGAACTGCCGGTCTATTTTCCAAGCGGCGGCACCATTTTTCATTCCCTCCAGCAGAGTGAGAGGGCTGTCTTTGTATGATTCTTTCATACACACATGTGTGTTTATCCTCAGGATGACTTCCTGTCTGTGTCATAGCTGAGTTAAAGAGTACGAGGTACTTCACCTTTCCAGTTTGACACCACCCCACAAAAGTCCATGAGGTATGAGAGTAACCCCACACCTTAATTCATGCTGTGATGAAGCTCTGAGCTTGGTCATTCTTAGGTCAAACCTAATAGCTGTGAATGGTTCTTCATCTGCTTTCTGTCATCATGGGGGAGATGAAACAGCCTTCCAAAGCTTTCCTGCTTTATTTATTTTTTATTTTTTAAAAAGATTTATTTATTTATTTATACAAGCACTGGGTACAGTCAGAAGCACAGGAGGGTGAGAGAATTCACCAGAGCCAGAGCAGGGAGCAGAGCAGGCAGAAGGACCGAAGTACACTGCTGAGGGGAGCAGTGGGCGGCAGGAGAGGTCTGTGCGCCATGTGAGACCCTCACCTGCGGCCGGGGATCGAACCGGCGCTGAAGAGGCTGTGGGCAGCTTTGCAGCCCAGTGCTCAACCATGCACCACCAGGGGAGGCCCAGCTTTCCTGCTTTAGAGCCAAGCCGACCTCTTATGGCCCAGAAGCCCTGTGTTGGAAATGCCCATGTGTGGGGGCAGCTCTTGTCCCAGTTTTGTTTGCATTGGTGACACTCGATGTCCCAGGTGGCCCAGAAACCTGTTGCAGCTGGGGCAGGGGTGGAGCAGGCACTGATGGTAAATACAGCTGTGTCGCACTGAGAGTAGCCCCAGTGTCCTTCCTCTACTTGACCTATGGGTCCCCTGCCTGGCTGACCATTAGAAACACCTGGGGGGGGGGACTTTTAAAAGCACAGATTTCTGGATCCTTCTCCTAAAGCTCATTCTGGTGGTCATGAGACGGAGTTCTGGCTTCCCCTCGGTTGGCTAAAGCAATACTTCTCCCTGAAGTGTTAAGGATGACTGTCATTCACTAGGGTGGTTGGACTCAGTAGTTTCATAAATGCCCCAAATCCTGGTACCTAGCCAGGTTTGGCATATACTTCCCTAGAGACAGTTTCTCTCCATCCTTCCTTCCACCTGTCTTTTCATCCTTCTTCCATTAGTCTATCCACCCACCCTCCCTCTCTCCCAGCCTCCCTCCCCACTCCCTGGCCCTCCCTACCTTTCCTCCCACTGTATTTGAATGCCTGCTCTGCCAGGCCCTGTTGTAGGAACTGGAGATGCAGCAGTATTTAAATTAGATTCAAATCCTCATGGCGCCTCCATTGTCTCCTTAGGTGCACACAATGTGGCTCTTGACTTCTCCCTTATTTGATGAGCTCTGCTGCATGACTGTGGGCAAGCTACATCCAACTTTCTGAAATTTAATCTTTTGTCAGAAATGGGAAGGACACTGGTGTCCACCCGCAGGGTTATGGTTGGGAGGCTATAAAGGAGTAAGCATGCCTGAACTGCAAAGTGGGGCCTAGCAGCCCGTGGGAAACGCGGTTGTATTTTTGCCATTAGTAGCATCCAGCTTGTCCGGGGTGCCAGGTCTTGGCAGGTGGTGGTACTTTTTCTAGAGGGCAGTAGGGGTCTACTGAAGGGCTTTCAGGAAAGGGATGGTATGTGCACTTTGGACCATGCTCTGATGGTCCCATGTGAAGTGGCTGTTTTGGTGTTATTTGCAAAGTGACGGAAAACGCCAATTTGGGGTTAAAGAGCGTAGACATGGCGCTCTCTGGGCCACTTGGAGAGCAGGTGTCTGGACCCTGGGTGTGGACTCTCAGGGCTGCATGTCTAAGCTCCTGCTGTAAGGGTGGTGCCCCAAGGGGAACCTTCCAGGTTTCTAGTCACCAGTACCCTGAAGGTTACTGTGAAATCTCTAAGGGGTAGGCAGACATAGGCAGAGCACAGGCATGTGATTCTGGGGTACTTGGCAGGTGGTGGGGGGCTTCTGGACAGTTGTCACAATCCCTTGTACAGGCCAGGTGAAAGCAGACACACATAGACCCTGCTGTCTAAAGCGGGGAGTGGTTCTACACCAGGGTGTCCACTCCTCTCCCTCCAGGGGTATTTAGTAGTGCCAGCAATATCTTTAGTTGCCATATTGGGGGGTGGGGATGCCACTGGCATCCAGTGGGTAGAGGTCAGGGGTAGTGCTTAAGTGTACAAGACACAAAGAATTATCTAGTACAAATTGTCATCGGTTCCATGGTTTAGAAACCCTGGTCCAAATTCACCCAGCTTACATCTACAGACTGTCATTGGGTTTAATGGGATTTCTCTGGACCCGCTCAGATGGAGCCATTGCATTTGTTCAGTGCATACTTGCCATTGTACTGGGTGCCGGTGCTGTTGAGAGAGAGGGAGCTGCCTGGAGCCCCTGCCTGGTAGGGAAACAGTCGGCAGTCAGCCCTTGCAGGGGCGAGTGACCCAGCTCAGTGAGGCCCTTCCTGGGGGCTGTGTGAGGGAGGCAGGAAGGTGCCCCGTGTGTGGGTGTAGGGCAGGTGGTAGGGAATGGGGGCGGGGGCTCAGTGGAGTTGCTGCTTTGGGTGAGTAGAGGGATGGTTTGTCAGATTCTGGTAAGGTGGCTCTCCCAAAGGGGGACCCTCACTGCTACTGAGAAGCATTGGTCAGAGACTTGGGAATGGCTCAGCTGGGTGGTTTTTCTACTCTATGAGGCCTGGCTGGTGGTTGTTTGTGGTAGTCAGTTGCATGTCACCTGTTCTGGAAGGTTCTGGCATCTTCATTCCCACACCTGGAGCCTTGGTGGTGATCGCTGGAAGACTGGGCTCAGCTGGAGGTGCTGACTGAATGCTGACTGCCTGGCAGTTCCCGGGAGTTGGACTTGTTATATGGCGCCTGGCGGCTCCCTGGGGTGCCTGTTCCAAGAGGGCTAGGCAGATGATGTAGGGTTTCTGATGACGTGCAAATCACAGGAAGGCACTCAAGCCAGCTCAGGTGAGCAAGACCAGCTCAGGCTCCAGGAGCAGGGACTGTTTGAGAGGGAGTGGCCTGCATGTCCAGAGCAGGGGCCTAGAAACTGATGGTGGCCGACC